ATTTACTACTATATATATATATATATATATATATAGATAGATAGATAGATAGATAGATATTATTACTATACTGCATACTCTTAGAAAGGAAAAAAAAGATAATGTTTCTCATGTCATAAGGAACCCTCAGAAGTATTTAAAATTTTCAATTAAATTCACGCGCACACGCACAAGTACGCGCACACGTACAAAATATAAGATAAAGACATTATTATACATATAATACCCCTTCTTTTTAAATATATAGTGTATTATTTAAAATCAAAGAATAAATATTATTATCATTCTTAGTGTTGAAGTAACTTTTTTTAGCACTAGTATTGATTTGATTTTAATTTGATTTTGTTAAAGTTACTAATATCTGTGGACTATAACCTTTATTAGACCATTCAAAATTCAAGTCTTAGAAACAAGAAATAATATCATAAAAGATAAAAACTATGAAAAAGTATAAGAAATATTCTAAAAAATTATTCAAAGTAAATATTTTTATGCATAAAAAATTATAATTTTAAAAATTATATATATAATGTCGGGTTGGTTTAATGTCGAATTGATATTTTTTTAGGTAAAACCAAACTAATCAACCATGATTGTGGAAATGGACGAAAACCACAACTGACATTGAAAACCGATATCCCTCCTTTTTAAGTTTAAATATGGACTCATGGGCCATTTTACTTAATAAAAATGGGCTCATAAATGGATCCACACATAAATATACCAAAAAAAGAGTTGGTCGGCCCTGAAGTGGTCAGACTAGGTGAGTATGAAAGAACCCTCTATGATAGAGTTTTCTGATTAATGCTCTCCGCCTCTTCTTCTCATTGTTCTCATCGCCTCTACGGAGATGTTGTCTCTTGTGCTCCACAACTGTAGCTTCTTCCCCCTTTGATTATGCGGGATTAACATATTCCACCTTGATCTTGTTGCTGTGGAGATCAACTTTCAAAGGTTCATTTTTTTAGCCATCTGGCATCTTCATTGTCTTGTTTCTCAACTGACTCTTCTTTTTGTTTGAAGGTGTACTACAAATTATTAAGTATTGGAAAAAATGGTGGAGATGGAATAAAATTGATATTGAGATTTTATATGCAAAATTCAACTAATTCAGAATTGAGGTATTTTATTATACTTGTTAAATTCCTATTTATGTATTATTACTATACTGCATATTCTTAGAATGAAAAATAGTAATGTTTTTCATGTTAGAAGAAACCCTCAAAAAGCATTTAGAATTTTCAACTAAAATTCACACATCACATGCACACACATAAACGCGCACGTGCGTGCACACAAAAATATAAGATAAAGACATTATTATTATATATAATATCCCTTCTATTTAAATAATATAGTGTATTATTTATATTTTGCATGATCTTCGAAGTGAGGATGAATTCACTTGTGCAAAATTAAAGAACAGATATTATTATCATTCTTACTTTTTAAATAACATTTTTTAGCACTAGTATTGATTTGATTTTAATTTGAGTTTTGTTAGAGTTACTAATATCTATGAACTATAACCTTTATTGGACTATTCAAAATCAAGTCTTAGAAACTAGAAATAATATGATAAAAGATAAAAACTATGAAAAAGTGTAAGAAATTTTTTTAAAAATAATAGAAAGTAAATATTTTTATGTATAAAAAATTATAAATTTCAAAATTATATATATGATATCGGGTTGGTTTGATCTCGAATTGACAATTTTTTTGGGTAAAACCAAACCAATCAAGTATAGTTGTGGAAATGGACCGAACACCACAATTGACATTGAAAACTACCGATATCCCTTTTTGAAAGTTTAAATATGGACTCATGGTCCATTTTATTTAATAAAAATGGGCTCCTAAACGGATCCACACATAAATATACCAAAAAGGAGTTGGTCAGCCCAAAAGTGGTCAGACCATGTGAATATAAAAGAACCCTAAATGATAGGGTTTTCTCATTTATGCTCTCCTTGTTATCATTGCCTCTGCGGAGATATTCTCTCTTGTGCTCCACAACTGTAGATTCTTCCACCTTTTGTTATGGGGGATTAACATTCCCCACCTTGTTGTCTGCGTTTGATATCAACTTTCAAAGGTTCATTTTTTAGCCATCTGACTTCTTCATTATTTCGTTTCTTAACTCACTCTGATTCTTTTTAAAGGTGTACTACAAATTATTAAGTATTGGAAAAAATGACGGAGATGGAATAAAATTGATGTTGGGATTTTATATAGAATATTCAACTAATTAGGGACTGAGGAATTATTGCAGTTGTTGAATTTCTATTTTTTGTATTATTATTATACTGCATTTTCTTAGAAAGGAAAACAAGTATAATGTACTAGCTGGGCTAATCTTTTCTGCATCAATTTCAGGATCCAAAATAGAGTAGAAAATCCTACAATCATCAGTAACATTATGTGTGAAAAAGAATTCAGACTCTCTTGTTCTAGTCTGACCTCAAGTCTGGAATCTTCTATTTCAGAAGACAGTTGCAAATCTTGGATAACTACAAACGTTTAACTACTGATGGTAATAATACTAATACTTCATTTCATTATATTTTTCCCCTATTTATAATTATGATGATATATGTTGAATTCGATATGTTAGATTTCCACTCTTTTGACAAAATTATTTCTACGCCTATTTTGACTTCTTGTTTTATGCCTTTTGAGTCATTGTTCTCTAAATTTGGTTGTATAGCGTTGCTTCAACAAATTAATTATAGGAAGAAGGTAGTCGAATTAGCTTTATAGAAATGATTAAAAAAGACATTTTATAAGGTTTGTTTAACTGAAAATTGTAAGAGATTCAAAAATAGGTGTTACACTTTCTCATACGATCAGTGTAGTAATTGTTCATGGACTTAAAAGATGTTTTCAAGCCCATTACATTGGCTGAATTCCATCCCCCCCCCCCCCCCCCAAAAAAAACAAATATATATATATATATATATATAT